ACCGAAGGTTTAACGGTTGATTGTAAAGTTACTTGTGCTAGTGAAGTGTTTGTATTTTTTGGTGTTGTTAAATTTGGACGTATCGGTGAAATACGTTGTTGTGTAGTTGTTGTTGTTTGGACGATTTCTTCATTTATGAAGTGTGATGGTGTTTGAATATCTTGTTGTGTAAGATTCCTAGTTCCATTAAGGTTTTCATTGTGTATGACGGTTGAATTTAAACTGTTATTTCGCGTATCAGGTAAAAATGTATTGTAGTTTAATGGTGTTGCATCAATGGTTAATGGTACTACTCTTACATAATCTCTTTGATAAGATATTGTACTTATTGCTTGACTTGAGATTGATTGTGGGATGTTTATAAATGCATGATGAGACCATTCGGGGTCCCAAACGTAGTCTGACTGTTCTGTGATGGCGGTATCATCGTTTGAATTTTGAGGTCTGAAATTTTTTCTTGCTTGTAAAATTAAATCTATATTATGTGTGAAATAATCTATTGTAAACCATGCCAAAATTTTTTGTAAGTCATGTTTTGTATGTTGTGAAACTTCGTCTTTAGCGAAATTTTCTTTAATTATATGTAGGAAAGTTGAAAATAGTGTGATTTCATGTCGTACTTTTGTATGTTTGGATGTCTCAGTTGGTGAGATATTTGGAATTTCTGTTTTTTCTAATATTGAAACATAACTATATATTATCGCAAAAACTTCGTTAGTAAATATGGAGTTTGCTCTTTGTGAGTTATGATATTGTACGCTTTTAATATATTCTAAGAATACTTTTGAAAATTCTAAGTCAAGATCGTCTGTTTGAATTACATATTTGCGGTGATTCGGATTTGGTGTGCTGAATTCTATGGTGTAGATTCCGTATTGTTGTGTTAAATTACATATATTTTTCAGATAATGTTCTATAATTTGTCTTTTAATTTTTACATCTGGGAATTCTGCTTTGCATGGGCTGATTCCGGGTTCAAACAAATTTAGGAGTAAATTCTTGCAAAAGGTGATGCTGTCCTCTATTATCGGGTGCATCTACGAGGAAGGGGTAAATGTCGTCGTCATCTGGACTATCGTCACTTTGAGTGTGGCTGTGGCTCATTTTTTTGTTTAATGATTGTTAATATATAACTACCGATGTGTCTAATTGGTTGATTCCAATTATACAAGTGTACTGGTTTGTGTTTATATTGCTTTTTTATTCTTCTTTTTCCTCTTTTTGATGAATTTGAAGTTGTTTCTGAGTCGGAAAAATATAATTGATCGTGAATGGGACAATTTTTATCAATTGATTCTTTTAATTTATAGAGTTCATCTAAATTGCTGGCTTCTGATTCTGAAAATGCGTTTCTATTCTTTGAAAATCTTTTTCGTGTGATTTGTCTTTGTTTGTTTGTTATTTTCCTTTTTATTGTTAGTCGTTTTGTTCTAATATATCCAACTGTTTGTGTATGAGGTGTGATTACAAGATCATATTTTTTGTTATCTATTTCACAGTTGTGTAAAACGATTGTTTGTTTATTTCCTAGATTTTTGAATGACATAAGGTTTAGGATGAGGGATGCAAAAAGTTGTTAGATGATTTCTACTTTCTTAAACTGTTAGTCCTTACGATTTTTTGGTTAGCTTAACCTGGGTCTATTTGTTCAGGGTTGGAGAGAAAAGTATATCGATTCCGAAGAATGATTTTTTACTTTCTCGTGGCTAATATAAGCTAAGGTGTTAACTGGGACAACTGATGATTTTATGATTACTAACAATTTATTGTCATGCTACTAATATTTATTTTGATTTTCAATAAATATTTTTCAAACATGTTTTATATAAGACTGCAGAATTTAAGAAAACGATCTGAGATCTTTTTATCAATCGTTATTGTATATTAATAATTTTGTTTAGCGCCTGAAATGATCATGAAGATTGACTTCAAAATTTTATTTTTGCAAATGAAAATCTAAATTCATTGCTAATAAGATTCTAAATATAAAAGTTTGTGTTGGCTTTTGCCGTACTATCATATAACTATATGGTAAGTTTCTACTTTGTCGTATGTCGTCTCTTGTTCGAGGTCTTCTTACGATTCCGGGTAGTTCTGTTATCGTTCAGAATATCGGTTCTGATCTATTGAGTCGTAGAGACATTTCGATTAAATTATCGTCGTATAACATTTTGAAAATGTTTTGTCTAATTTATAATCTATTTTTGGTTAATTCTAAGCTATTAAGGTCTTGTTCGAGACTTATGGTCGCATCAGATGAGTTAGGACCGATGTGGTTAACTCATAGAGTAATTTCGGATAGGGTACACCGTCTGCTCGTCACGCTGTCTTATTTTCGGCCGGATAGATTCGTGCAACTTCTTAGTCTAATACCGATCCTAATCTTACTCTTATACTATCTAGTCTCAGGGTGTTTAACTAGTCTCTGCTAGGCTCAATAGATCTAGGGTATACTGGTTTATTGCGGCTGCTGAAGTTCTCTTGGAGAGGCAACTAATTTCCAAGTTAAATTCAAATCTCTCTGGTGCTGAAATTACAAGTAATTTCAGCACTTACAAATAAGTGGGTCATTAGTTAGATGGATCATGATTGGTTAATATTAAATACTTTACAGTGGTAAAATATCTAATTTATCCAATCATAAAATATATTTTAGATCAGGTTCCAAAGTCATTCTCTAGGACAAGGTCGAATCCAAAAGAAGACACACTGCAACAACACATACTGCAATTTTTTTTCAATTTTTAATAAATACTATGCAATGAATATTTAGACAATGGCAATAAGTTAATTATCTATCTTTTTGTTAATTATAAGGAAAATTAAATGAAAAACGTAGTACAAATCACATATAAATAAGGAAAGGAAACCTGATAGAAAAATAGACACCAATAGTAAAGAAGCCACAAAAAACCGAAAATGGAACAGCCAAAAAACGAGAAAACTTTTTACAATTTGTAATTACTTATTGAACAAAAAAAATCAATCCGATCAGTTTGATCAGCCAAAATTGGGACTAAACATAATATTTCCAGACGAAGCTTAATGATATGAACAAGAAACTCGCAGTTCACTAGTAGGTCCCCCAAAAGGCATGAAAATTGGAGTACAGGGAGCTTCTATAGATATATAAAGCAAATTGATTGTTATACCAGCTCAAACTGAGCAGAAATTTATGAGCAGTTCCAATAAAAGTTGTGTCAAAAGTGTCTAATCTGCACCGCGTAAATTTGCGACAAAACACAGGTGGATTTTTTTTATTGAACAATAACAAAAAACTCATCAGTTTTACACAGCAGCTTCCTCATTTATACCGTTCTAATTATGCCTTATTAATATTATTTTTAGGGAAACTCTAATTGAGGACAATTGTCACTCGGATGGGAGCGGCTATTTTCAAGGGCGAAAAAAATAATGGGCGAAGGACTCATAGGCGATGGAACAAAAACAGCCGAAAGTCAATTATTTGAATGAATCAATTGCCCTACAATTCAAAGGATTTCAATGAAGCAACATTTCGCCCCTCTTATAATGAAACCATTGAAACCCAAAAACTGTTTCAATTTGATGGCGGTCAGTGAAAATTTGAAGTTTTGTATAATTCTGCTGATTTTAGATTCAGCTAATAATAATATTAAGTCCCTGGAAGTATTTACTTTCTTTGCAATTTCTAAGCTTTCCTTTGAAATTGTGGGATACTTAAGTTTGACTGGCTGATTTGTTTCACCCATTCGTTCCTTCGCCTAAGAGGGATTCTACCCCACAAGTTTTTGTTAGCTGAGTTATTTCAAAAAATGCAGATACCTGATAAGATACTAATAGCTGATCGCACAGGAAAAAAGTATACAAACAAAATACTGTCTCATTTTTTGAAATCTCAGCTTTCGAATTTCAAAGAAAAAAATAGATGTCCTTGAAACTCTTCGAATAGGTAAAACAATTAATGATTGACACTTTTTTTTGATAAAACTAACCTACAAAGAGTTGTACAAAGTTCGGACAGACAAAATTAATTAAGAAGAGCATCTGTCTAGACATCAACGGAAAATAAAATTGAAATAAACAAAGTCGAAAGTTCATAAAGCAGTTTCGGGATCTACTTAAAAAAATTCAAGAAAAGGGAGGAGTTTGTTAATTAAATTACTTGCAGCGATTTTTCGACCAATCAGAATGCAGCAAAACTGAGTATACAGAAAATGGTTTAATGCGAGTTTACTGTTTTTATTTATAGGGGTGATTTTTTAGTAGATACAATAAGGAGGGAGATTGTTAAGTAGTTCCGAGTTTCGCTCAAACTCTATAGCCACGGCGGGCAATTGCATCCGAAGCCTCAAACGATTGTATAGTAAAATCTGGATGTTCGTCGGAGTATTCAAAAACTAGGCTAGCATAATCATCGGTTAATTGACGATCTCGCATTTAGTCTGGCAAGACACTCAAGGTTGTTCGGCTTCCGATTTTGCATGCAAAAAAGCGTCGAAAACAATGATTGCTCATTTTAATTAGTTGTGTGTCCGAACTTTTTGTTACTAATTATAACATGATAAAACTGGATCAATAAGTTAATTTTTTATTTCGCAGGGAAATCTGAAAAGTAAATTCCTCTTTCGAAACTAGAAGTATATCGCGTTTTTCACTTTTCCTTTTCGATAGTGGAAATGGAATGAACTGAACTTCAAAGTCAAAACAAGAAAAAGTACATTTGAGCTTGAACAAATTTGAAGACTTTTCCAGAAAAAAAAACGAAAAAAAAATTGCGTCCTATATAAGTCTGAATAAAGAGAAAAACTTTTCAAGTTGACGCAACGCGTTTCGGTTTCATCGGATAATGCCGGTTTTGCTATATTTCAACCTTATTAACGCAACAACAAAAAGAGTGACTGAAAGGTTTGTCAGATAGCAATGCAGTTGTATAACACAGGTCAACTTAAACTTATTAGGGTAAAAACAAATAGACCCAAAAATTGATCTGCTTCTTACTCCTTCTTCGACACAGGTATTCAAGAAAATGTTTTGCAAGTGGCTGTATTGAAGTCATGTTCGTACTCAATAATCTGCCAATCTCAATCCACTACCATCATAACCTTTATCAACATTTCAATCGTAAATCATATTAGACGAAAAGCTGCAAGTACGAAACAAACAACAACAGCAGTTAGTCATTGAGTTCACATTCTGTCCATCATTTTCCTTTTGCATCTCCAATGGCGCCTTCAACTGCAGTTCCGTTCTGCTCAGAGGTCGAGGCTTGCTCCGGCTTCATAGCTGGGAACAAGAGCACTTCCTGAAACAAAACGTTTATCATGCATCTGAATCCTCATTTATTTGCGAAGTACACTATTTTGGGGAACTAGTTCAACAGAATGATTAATATTTTCTAACGCTTGATATTAACCATGCTTTGATCATTTAAATGCTCTAATGCCGATATTGAGCTTTAACTTGCAGTATCTCAGCCATGGCTCCTGCATTTTAAAGAAAACTCAATGCTCTGTTTTTCCTTTCCTAACCTCGCCTGCGAGCTTTTACTTGTAAAACTTACGTCCAGAATCCAATTATCACCAAAATTAGCAACTAATTATGCAATTTCAAGCATTTAAAAGCTCGTGCCTTTGTTTCTCCATAAAATTGATGCTGATGTGAGGTGGGAGGAAAGGAAAAAGAGCCCGACATACTTTGATGTTGTTCTGATTTGTAAGGAACATAGTGAGTCGGTCTATTCCCAGTCCCCACCCCGCAGTCGGGGGGAGTCCGTACTCCAGCGAAGTGCAGAAGTTCTCGTCCACCAACTGCGCCTCGTCATCTCCTGCGTCCTTCTGTTTTGCCTGCTCCTCAAACCTCTCTCGTTGCACTACTGGGTCATTCAACTCAGTGTAAGCATTGCATAGTTCTTTGCCCAGCACGAATAGTTCGAATCGTTCAGTCAGCCCAGGTTCGGAACGGTGCCTGGTTAAAACAAAACGATTATTTCGTGTTACGAGAGAACCATTTGCGAGGGGTAGGAAAATGTCACAACTCTCAATAAAATATATTGACAAAACTCTTAGTTTAGTCCGCTTAAAGGATCTTGTTAACTATCATACTCCCCCCCTATTTCGATTTTCCGAAACTCAACTTTGGCGGCCAAACTTTCAATATAGCTTAAGACATTTTTCAGAAAATAAATATAATTAAAATTTTTTACGTAGGTATTATATAAATAGTGAGTAATACAAATACGAACGCGCTAAAATGAAAACCCATTTAATTGATGACATTTTTGAAATGCATATTTTATACAGAAATGGTTGTCAAAAATAATACATATGCATAGGGGGGGGGGGGGGGGGTGGGGGAATAGTTAACAAGGTCTAAAAGGGGGAAAATACTTACCAAGATCCCGCTTAAAATATTAGTTCATAAGTTTTTTATATTGTTATTTGGCATAATTATATTTTGTAGCAAACTATTTTTCAATTTAATCATCTGGATTGTTTCTTGCAGGGTTACCAACAGTTTTGTAAAACTCTACGCCTTTGGATGAGCAACTGATGTTCCGATAGCCCTGGAACTCAATGCGGGTAGTTTTAGCAGTAGGGGCGTTCCAAAACGGTCGCAAGAGAATCGCGAAAACAGGAAGGGGATCATTAGCCAAAATTATTTCACTGAAAAACTCTCATCCCAACTTATCGGTTGAACTTTTTTGCGCTATCAATATCTTTAGACGAAGTATTTTGTTGCAATTACATTTACACTCTTTTCTAAAAACATTAACACCACAACAGGATGATGTTGATGTGCACTCCATTTTTCTCATTTCTCCATAGTTCGTATTCAATATATTCTGTTTTTAGATTATAGCTCCAAGTCTATCAATTCGAGTATAACTTACCATTTGGCCAATGGTGACATGACATGTGGATGACCCAAAAGGAAGGTAGGATTGACGAAGGAAGGTTCCAGATACTCACCGACTAGCTAAAAATTGAACCATTCAACTCTCAAAAAACCAAACTTGAATCAAACGTTAATGCTTCTAACCTTGTCCAGCAATCTAGCGGTGGTTCTAGGGTTGCTGCAATCAACTTCTCGCATCACGCAGATATCATCCAAACACTTACGCGCCTCTACAAAAAAAAGATTCCATAGTAATGATTTTTAACACAAGCTGACAATTATTTAGTCACATCACCCTTTGATTTCAATAGAGCAAAAATAAATACAAATTTTTTCAAAGAAATACAAAAACTTTCAGATTTCCTCCAGGTAAAATGTTATTAATAGGTTAGATTAATATTTTAACTTACAATTCACTTTTACTCAAACCTTTATTGGACAAGGGATGTACAATTTTTATCTGGAGTACCATTGTGCTCAAATCGGGAGGGAGACAAACCAGACTCAAGAAACACTGAAATGGTAGTATTTTCGATTCTTTTCTCTTGTGTATCTGCTTATGCAAGCGAGGGCGAATTCACGCTAGCTGCATTCAAAACTAAAGTAGGCCTAATCTTTTCCCTGATTTCTAATACCTTCAGTGTGGAAAGTGGTGGCATCAGGAAAAGTGACACCTAGGATCTTCTCCAGGTCTCGGATGATGTGAACTCTTTTGAAGGGAGGCGTGAAATCTACTTCCTTCGGCCCCATCTCTTCTCCCTCTGGGTAGTAGGACACTGTCGACTTGCCAAACAAAGCTTTCACTAGACCTATAGAAAATAAACAGATGGATAGAAATTTTACAGATTAGTGTCAACTATACTCATTACAGCATCCCATTCAGCAGCAACTACAAATTAAAAAAAAACATTAGGCTGAAGAAGAGGTAACTTTGGACTTTACTTCCGTTTTTTATTCATTTCTAAAGGACAGAATTGAAGCAAGCAGAATTTGAGCAAATTATGTAATTCTATCCGAAACAGAATCTCCACAAAATCGTCCAACGTCTTTAAATTTGAACAAAATAACAGAAAAAAAATCAGCAATCAATCGGCAATTTAAAAAAATACCACAAAAAAATTCATGAAACAAACCATGTAGAAGTTGCTCTGTCATCTTCATTAGATCTTCATAATCCGCGTAGGCCATATAGAACTCACAGGTAGTGAATTCGGGATTATGAGTCATATCGATACCTTCATTTCTAAATTGACGTCCAATCTCATAAACTCTATCGAAGCCACCCACTACCAACATCTTCAGGTACAACTCGGGGGCGACTCGCATGAACAGATTCATGTGCAGGTCGTTGTGGTGTGTTACGAAAGGCTTAGCTGTTGCGCCACCCGCAATCATGTTCATGAGGGGAGTTTCCACTTCTAGAAATCCCATGTTGTCCAGGAAGTTCCTGACGTAAGAAATGATTTTTGTTCGAGTTATAAAAACGTCTCGCACAGATTCGTTGATGATCAAGTCTAAATATCTTTGTCTGAACCTAGTTTCCTAAAACACAACATTAACACAAAGGCGAAGCTGAGCTTTGCACCAGTTGCGATACAACAAGTATAGGATTAAAACAGCATAACGCTGAATAAGTAGCAAAGATGACTTCGAGTAAAGAAAAAATTGAGAAAAGAACTAGAAAAACAGAAAAATTAAAAACAAAACGAAAAATCACTATTTCACGATTATATTTAAATTTCTTAAGCGGTCCTTTTGGGGTTGAGTTTGAGCATTCGAAATATGGAGCCAGAGTCTTATCGATCAAGAAAAATATAGCAGCAAATTTGCAGGAAACAAAATATTAGCAGGAAGCAAAACTAAAGCAAATAGCGATGAAGATGAAAATCAACCGAAAAGTTCTAACCACATAATGCCCATGAGTGCTTCCTATGTGGTAAATTCAAGGTGGTATACCAAATTCGAAAACTAAACCAACAAGAGTTTAAGTCGACAACCATGAAGCAGAAAAATTGCGATACAACACATAGCACAAACTAGCAGACAGAAATTGAGACAAAACCGTTAAGTGAAAAAATTTGAAAAAAAAGATAGTTTCGGGAAAACATAGATTTACTAACATTTCATAAATTTGTATCAGGGTGTCTGAAAAAAAATTAGACAATTTTTCGGGAAAACAAATAAATTTGTCTGGCAAAATGCCAAAAAGGACTACAACGTTATATTTGCATCGGAACAGCAAATGTAACAAGACGATAATGCTAATTGCAAGAAGAAAAACCGCATGTGATGTTTAAGTGCTCATTGATCGACAAAACAAAACTTTTCGAAATATTTTACTTCAATTACTTACACTAAAATCATTCAGAAAAAGAAAAAAGCTGAATCTTCAAAAGGAATCCGTACAACTCAAACCAAACCAAGACGGACGATAGCGCAAAAAGCAGGAAAGTTCTTCATTTGAGAGAAAAGAAAACAGGTCCTGGTCGAGTAGGACAACAAGCCTTTGTCTCAAGTGTATGTGTTACCTCTACACCAGTTGCGCTGGATAGTTGATTAAATTTTAATTAATTTTGATAAATAAACTAAGCAGGAAAATGATTTTTCAACTAGCAGGCCCACTGCAGATAAAACTGCACCTAATAATTGGCAACGTTCATCGTTTAAAAAAAGGGTTGAATAGAGGGATGCTTAGCTGGTTGTATAGGTGGCTGGACGAATGAACGAATGGATAGCTGGATGGACGCATGGATAGCTGTATATATAGATGGCTAGATGGATGGTTGAAGGGAGGGATAGCTTAATTGATGGCTGCATCGAACGATGATTGTCTGAATGCATGGATGGCTTTCTGGATGACGGGTTGAATGGATGGCTAAATTGATGAGAGGATGGATGATGGATGGATGACTGATGGGTTGAGTGCCGGACAGATTTGTGGCTGGATATATGGCTGACTGGGTCGCTAAATGATAAGATGGCTGGCTTGTTGGATGGAGAGATGGCTAGGTGGAAGAATGGCTAGATCGTATATGGATGAATGATGGGATGCATTGACGGCTAGATTGATGGATGGACTGCCGGATGATTGCTGGCTGGCTGAGATGGAGGATTGTTGGATGGATGACAAGGTGGCACGATGGGTGGAGATCTAGATTGGTAGATGCATGGCTGAATTGATGGACGGATGGAAGGCAGGATAGATGAATGGCTAAATAGATGGATGGCTTCATGGATGGTTGGAGGGACGGACAGAGGGGCGGGCAGATGGCAAGATAGATATATAGCTGGTTCGATGGATCAATCGATGGCTAGATGGATGGTGGTTCGATGGATCAATCGATGGCTAGATGGATGGTGGCTTGATCGATGACCGATTGCATGGAAGAATGGAGATGGGTTAGACGCGTGAAGATATCGATGGATGCATGGATGGCGGACAGCTGAATGAATGGATGGCTTGATGACTGGTTGGAGTAATATATAGAATGAGTGATGGCTACCTGGGTGGATGGATGTCTGGCTGTGTAGATGGATGATTGGGTGGTTGACAGGCGATTAGCAGGATAGATGGCTGATCAGATGAATGGCTCAACGAGGGATGGATGGCTTTTTGGGTGGATGGATAGTTAGATGGATGATTGGCTAAATAATAAGTCGATTCATGAAAAATTGGCTTGATGGCTGTCAAAATGAAAGCTAGATATAAACCTTCCGAGATTACCTTGACAAAACCCCATCATGGAGCTGAGAATTTCAAAATTAATGATGCATTTTAAAATCCAATTTAAAACTTAGATTTGAGACGAAAGTTCAGACGAATTGTAAAAAACGGCATATCTCAAAAATATAAGGTTTTGGGCAGTCATATTTGGAGGTGAATTGAAACCCCTTTGAGTCCATTGAGTCTCCTTGATATTTTGAAGGACTTTTTCGGCTTCTGCCAATTCTTTTTCTGTTTCTGACAGTTCGCGCTTGAGGACTTTGACGATCTCCGTTGGTAAATACCAATTTGTCGACGCAACTCGTTGCTTTTCACTTTCAATTTGTCTTCCTCTTTCATGCGCTGCTTCTCAGATTCCTTATAAAGATGGCTTGCTGCAGACATCTGATTCAGAAGAATTTGGGACTTCTCATGTTGCCCCAACTGAATCGCACCATTGCGCACACTGATCAACTTCCCGTCTAACGAGCACTTTGCCTGTTCCGGCCGACCGGGCACAGCCGCAGCCCATCGGTATTTTTCTCGCATCTGCTGAGAGAAGACACATGGCATATCTGAAACATATTTAACATTGGTAGGAACCCTGATTAAAGCAGAATGTCAATGAAAACTTTGCCCAGCAATAAAATACAGACCAATGAAAAAAAAAAAAAACTTTTTACAGACTTTACAGACCGGTCTGTAATTACAGACCAAGTGATCACCCTGACCTTGACAGCACCCAACTATATGGTTGAAAATTTCAAATTATTAGATATTCATGAAATCAAAAATGATGAACGTCAAATCTTAGAAACTAAAAAAATTTATGTATTCATAATTGGAGGCCAATTCCGCAACCCCTGGGACAACCCTGATAGCATCCCATCATAGGGTTGCTTATTTAAAACTTGGCGAAATAAAACGCTATGACGAAAAACGTCTGTTACAAGATGAATCCAACCTTAACACTACACTGCCTTCCTTTCCTCCCATGCTGGCATTCTACCTACAGCCTTAGATTCGGGCTTTTCAATTGGCCTAGCCTTCATAAACTGGAAAATCGAAAAAATTCTTAAGCATTGCATTATACGATGTAGCTCTAACGGGTAAAAATTCTTTCGTTGAACGTGCAAAAATTAATAAGTTTAAATATGGTGAGATACTTGTCACATGCATTTTAAAGAAACAGTATAGATAGATAGATATAGAACGATTTTTTTAAAACTCAAAAAAATTAACAATTTTTCATGATACATTTCCTTATTTTATTCGGAGGGCTTATGATAATGATTTAGATTTAGACAAACAAAAAATTAAAAGAAATAGGGAAATTGGCCGACAGAATTAAAGCCGACCGACGTGTACCGAAATCAACCAAAAAAATTCAAATCCAATAAAAATTATTTTGCTATTATTAACGTACACAAGACATATGCAGCCAAAATGCAGTAACCGTTCTACTAATTAACCCTGCAGCGTTAATCCTGCATTAACCATTGTAAGCATTATACTGATTAACATTTGATCATTATGTGAGCAGAGTTATTTTCGGAGAAAAAGTATAATACCCGATTACAATACCCTTTCTTATCGCAAGGGTAATTATTTACCGAAACTTCAGACGGCTTGGATGTCTGGCTGTGTAGATGGATGATTGACAGGCGATTAGCAGGATAGATGGCTGATCAGATGAATGGCTCAACGAGGGATGGATGGCTTTTTGGGTGGATGGATAGTTAGATGGATGATTGGCTAAATAATAAGTCGATTCATGAAAAATTGGCTTGATGGCTGTCAAAATGAAAGCTAGATATAAACCTTCCAAGATTACCTTGACAAAACCCCATCATGGAGCTGAGAATTTCAAAATTAATGATGCATTTTAAAATCCAATTTAAAACTTAGATTTGAGACGAAAGTTCAGACGAATTGTAAAAAACGGCATATCTCAAAAATATAAGGTTTTGGGCAGTCATATTTGGAGGTGAATTGAAACCCCTTTGAGTCCATTGAGTCTCCTTGATATTTTGAAGGACTTTTTCGGCTTCTGCCAATTCTTTTTCTGTTTCTGACAGTTCGCGCTTGAGGACTTTGACGATCTCCGTTGGTAAATACCAATTTGTCGACGCAACTCGTTGCTTTTCACTTTCAATTTGTCTTCCTCTTTCATGCGCTGCTTCTCAGATTCCTTATAAAGATGGCTTGCTGCAGACATCTGATTCAGAAGAATTTGGGACTTCTCATGTTGCCCCAACTGAATCGCACCATTGCGCACACTGATCAACTTCCCGTCTAACGAGCACTTTGCCTGTTCCGGCCGACCGGGCACAGCCGCAGCCCATCGGTATTTTTCTCGCATCTGCTGAGAGAAGACACATGGCATATCTGAAACATATTTAACATTGGTAGGAACCCTGATTAAAGCAGAATGTCAATGAAAACTTTGCCCAGCAATAAAATACAGACCAATGTAAAAAAAAAAAAAACTTTTTACAGACTTTACAGACCGGTCTGTAATTACAGACCAAGTGATCACCCTGACCTTGACAGCACCCAACTATATGGTTGAAAATTTCAAATTATTAGATATTCATGAAATCAAAAATGATGAACGTCAAATCTTAGAAACTAAAAAAATTTATGTATTCATAATTGGAGGCCAATTCCGCAACCCCTGGGACAACCCTGATAGCATCCCATCATAGGGTTGCTTATTTAAAACTTGGCGAAATAAAACGCTATGACGAAAAACGTCTGTTACAAGATGAATCCAACCTTAACACTACACTGCCTTCCTTTCCTCCCATGCTGGCATTCTACCTACAGCCTTAGATTCGGGCTTTTCAATTGGCCTAGCCTTCATAAACTGGAAAATCGAAAAAATTCTTAAGCATTGCATTATACGATGTAGCTCTAACGGGTAAAAACACTTTCGTTGAACGTGCAAAAATTAATAAGTTTAAATATGGTGAGATACTTGTCACATGCATTTTAAAGAAACAGTATAGATAGATAGATATAGAACGATTTTTTTAAAACTCAAAAAAATTAACAATTTTTCATGATACATTTCCTTATTTTATTCGGAGGGCTTATGATAATGATTTAGATTTAGACAAACAAAAAAATTAAAAGAAATAGGGAAATTGGCCGACAGAATTAAAGCCGACCGACGTGTACCGAAATCAACCAAAAAAATTCAAATCCAATAAAAATTATTTTGCTATTATTAACGTACACAAGACATATGCAGCCAAAATGCAGTAACCGTTCTACTAATTAACCCTGCAGCGTTAATCCTGCATTAACCATTGTAAGCATTATACTGATTAACATTTGATCATTATGTGAGCAGAGTTATTTTCGGAGAAAAAGTATAATACCCGATTACAATACCCTTTCTTATCGCAAGGGTAATTATTTACCGAAACTTCAGACGGCTTGGACGAATGAATCTAGAAGTTTACCTTATCTTTGACGCCAAAATGCAAATGAGGTAACATGTGTAGGCACGGACTAAGAAGGGTAATTTTCTTGGGAACTATGCTGAGTTCACCCAACTTTGTTCGCCCTAGGAACAATATGCAAATTCAAAATTTCACAAATTTTTAGAACTTAGGCTCGAATAATTCGAGTAGAATTATGCCTTACCTGGATGACCTGTCACTCCGACAATATCGCCTCGATGAAGTGTGTCTACGTCTTGTTCGAACTCCTCGCTGCTCTTGTAGTATTTATCATTAGCCATTATCTGGATCTTGACCGCTTCCGCCCGTAAATCGTAAAAGATCAACTTCTTCCCAGATGCTCTTTTTGAATGAATCCTGCCTTTAAAAAATTACGATGATCCAATAAAGTGATCATAGCAAAAAAATGTCCCAAATTGGAATCAAATGGTTTCTTATTGAACTGAGTGGATAGAATCTTAAAAATTGCGGAACATACCTGCAACCGACGTAACAATTGACTCGTCGACTTGTCCATTTTCGACCGAACTGAAATTTTTAATAAAGTTTTTCAGAGAAACTTCCACATTGAACTTGTGAGGATAAGGGTTCCTGTTACTTGTTGCTTTCAGTCTTTGAATAGACGCTGACCGCATCTCGAAATATTGCTGAAAGAACAACCGAGTCTCAGAACTAAATTAAGCAAAGCAATTACAGGTGGAACTGAGCGTAAATTACATTAGGATCCAAATCAGCCTCCGATATTGTATTTGATGGTGCATTAGTTCCAGTATTAGCGTTGTCATCTGTGGCCTTCAATTCTTTTTCTTTGGCCTTCTTTTCTGCCTTCTGTCGCCTTTTAAGCTCACTGTCAAAAGAAAAAAATAAGCGGAGATCACAAATTAAAACTTCAAAACATTACTTCATTCATTATATTTCAAAACAATACTTTTTACTGATCGTTTCTCCTTCTGCAGCGCTCATTTTATATCTCAGCACAGGTAAACAAGAAAACTTGATGATATTCTGACAACGCAAAGGTCTAGTTGTAATCAGGGCTTTCAGCATCAATTGTCACAACCTATAAAGCAGTTATTAAATGGCTACAATGCGCATCTGAAAATAGTATACCATGGACACAGAATCAAATATGCAATCTTCGTCCAAAACATCGCAGGTACTTGTTTAGAATTATGATGAATTTTTGATGAGCACCATTCGAAAAGCTCGTGTTACGGTGTGCTTTAGCTTTTTTCTCACGCAAATAATTCAGGTACCAAAAAATCAGAAAGGGTCGATTAAAGGTTTTTAGGTCGAGATTCGAACATTTAAAAATTTCAACAAATTGTTCAGTTCAGTTCAATTGTTTTCTGATCTTTTAGGCGTTTTTGTCGCCTCTATCGATCAGCTCTTGATGTACTCTTTTTCTATCAATTCGTCTCAAGTTTATCAATTCCGCTTTTCTTCCAATATATGTCCAGGTTGTTCTTGAAAGCGTTCAAGGTCTGCGAGTCAATTACTTCTCCTGGCAACATATTCCAATCTGTAGCTGATCTAATGGTGAAAAAGTTTTTTCGCAATTCGAGGCTGGCCTTCTTCGTTATCACTTTCTTGTTGTTTCTAATTGTGTCACAATTATTCAATTCGAAACTGTACCAATGCCGAGAAAAACTTGATATTTTGAGTCAAGTTGAGTGTAGCAGTCGCCTATTTAAGTCACATATGAGGCTAAGAAAAATAGGCCCTATAACCATTGGCTCAAGGGTCAGGGACACTATTACATAGTCTTTTTCATATTAAATGTCTGGTGCTACGACGAGGACAAGATTGACCTCTAAAAATCAAGAGTGTTGCACTATGTATTCCAAGTCAGCGGGGGAGAACTGGCTGATGTGCGAGGGCTGCGAAAAGTGGACGCATAGCTCGTGTATGGGATACTCTCATGATATCTTCAAATTTCTGGAGAGGACCGCAAATGTAAAGTTTCTGTGCAATTGGTGCCTAAGTGCTGATATTCGTGCAAAATCTACTGTGGATGTGGGCGATCTGTCAAAAGACATTGAGGACATCAAAGAGTCACTGGAGATCATGAAATCGCGGCCTACATGCAATCCTTCTCCTCCCCAACTGGAAGCTAAGTAGTCTAGTGTCGTTAAATCTAGTTCCGATATATCTCAAGAATTGCGGTTTAGTGATATGCCGGAAATTAGCATGAGTACTGACAGCAAAATTTTTGAACATGAAAAATGATAAGCGATACAATGGAACTTCTCGGTGCAAATAAAGAGGAAATTTCCCCTTTCCGCGAACTCGGAAAATTTAACGCAACTAATAAAAAACCCAGACAAATTTTGGTGAAGTTTTGAAATGTTATTACGGCAGATAGATTATTTGCGTGTGCAACCATGTTGAAAAATTTTGAGCCAAACATCGAGGGAAACAAATACTCAATTTTTCTATCAAAATCCTTAAAAAAGAGATGACCAAGAAAGGGACCGAAACTTGTTGTAGAGAAAAGACGCGAACTACTCAAAAGCGGAAACGGAGCAAAGGATATAAAAATCAGAAATAATAAAACCAAGCAGTAAATTGCACTGAATGACTACCAAATAAAACCGGAGAATTAAGAGCACTATGTTACAATGTAGAAGTTTATTCAAACTAGAAAGAAGACAAATTTTTCCGAACAGAATAATTTTAAAGAACTTTGATTCTATTTGCCTGTCTGAAACATGGCTTACAATTGAAATCCGCGAATCCGAGATTTTTCTTCGAAATTACAACTGTTTTCTATCAAACAGAAAATCTTCGCTGCAATCAACATCTCACGGTGGAACATTAATTGGCGTAAGGTCAGGCTTAATGTTAGAAGCTGCAAATTTTAGTTTTTATACCAACGGAGCGTCAGTAGCATGCTAAATTAAGCTAGATAAACGGAAATTGCTTGTTGTCTCTTGTTATCTACCGCCTGCAAACAGCAAATATGCTCTGAAACCAAGTAAAATAATTAACATGTTTGAAGACATTAAATAAATTGCGGAAGAACTGTGATTTGTTTATTACCCCTCAATAGATTGGTGCAACATGTCATTAATTAGAGAAACCGAAATATCATTTTTGGAAGAAATAGAGAATCTTGAAGTTCATCAAAATTTATGTTTACTGCCTCAACTGGTACTCTCGATTTGATCTTCACCAGCAATAAAATCCATGTATCAGATGTTTATACTATAGACAGTAACGATAAATTGGGAAAACTTTCTAACCATTATCCGGTCGAAATCTCTTTCAACGTAGAGTTATCGCATCCTATGCGTCGTAAATTTATTAAAGAATCCCTATTTAGTTATGCAACGGTGATTTCGATTTACTCAATGAGCAATTACTGTTGATCAAATGTAATGTGATACTAAATCATTGGTATAACTGGTTATCCTCGCTTATTAAAAAGTGTGTTCCAAAGCGCACTAAACATAGATCATCCTTGCCGCCCGGGATAAGTCAATCGACTTCGAATCTTATTAAATGTTTACATACAGCTCGAAAGAAATATACCGAGTCTCATTCAAAAGTTTGCACTTAAGTGAACAGACAGAAACGAACGCCGAAATGAACAAAGCCGATTGTGAACAGTCTCTTGCGTCAGAGCGATCAATGGGAAAACTTTTTAAATACTCTAAAGCTTTTCATAAGTCAAGCTTACCAAGTATACTGAAGTACAAAATTGAGACCACCGATACCGATCATTTAAAGGCAGAATTACTTTTGACATTTTTCGTCCAAGCATCTCTATCTCATTCTATCTATCAAATATTTTCTAAAACTATTCAAACTAGGCGTTTTCCAGACTACTGGAAAGTAGCTATAATCAGCCCAATTCATAAAAAAGACAATAAAAGTGACATTGAAATTTATAGACCCGTCTCCCTTCTTTGTATAGTTTCAAAAATGATAGAGCGTATAATATTTAGGAGATTATACGAACATCTATCACCTATGTTTCATAGTTCACAACATGGGTTTCGGAAGAATAAATCAACGGTCTTACAGCTATTAACTTTCTTACAGATAGCCTAAAAGAGTCAGGACGAAGCGAATAATATGGAGACCGTTTTCAAAAACCGAGTAGGTAGAAATTTGATCAAATTATTGAAATCTTATCTATCAAACAGGTCCCAATCTGTCAAAGTGAATAGCGAAATCTCAGATCCAAAGCCCGTAACAAGCGGAGTGCCCCAAGGCACCATTATCGGGCCATTGTTTTTGCTCATTTTTATTAATGACTTGCCTTCTCTTTGCCAAAATGTCACCCCTTTGTTTTTCGCCGATGGAGCAAAATTCATTAGCCTAAGTTTAGCTAAGGAAGAATTTCAAAATGAACTTAATGTGATATACAACAGGAAAGTTCAAAATCATATGCCATTCAATGTGGATAAACGCACCCACGTGAGCTTTACAAAAAATTCAAACAAATTTGCTTCAACAATACGGAAATTAAATTAGTGGACACTCAGAATGATATAGTGGTTATAATTTCAAATGACATTGAAATTATAACCCCTATATTTTTCTGAGTGTCCACTAATTTAATTTCCGTATTGTTGAAGCAAAATTTGTTTGAGCTTTTAGTAAAGCTCGCGTGGGTGCATTTATCAACATTGAATGGCATATTATTTTGAACTTTCCAGTTGTATATCACATCAAGTTCATTTTGAAATTCTTCTTTAGCTAAACCTAGGCTGATGAGTTTTGCTTCATCGGCGAAAAGTAAAAGGGTGATATTTTGACAAAGAGAAGGCAATTCATTAATAAAAATTAGGAAAAACAATGGCCCGAGGATGCTGCCTTTGGGCACTCAGTTTGTTACGGGCTTTGGATTTGAGATTTCGCTGGAATCTACACATTGACAAAGCAGTCTTAAAAGCAAATAAAACTTTTTTCGCGATCGAACGAAACATATCGAATTTAAACAGAGTATCAAAACTGAATTTGTTCAAATCCATGATAATCCCCGTGATTCTTTACGCAAGTCCGTGTTTTGGTTTAAATAAGTACGTAATGTCCAAAATAGAGATGATTCAGCGAAGAGCAGTAAAATGGATTTGCGTTAATAGTTGTGGACGTTGATTTTAGGAATTGTGAGGCATGTTGTGATTTTAGGACGTTGTGAGGCATGTAATCTAGACATACTAATTTACACTGAGTTCTCGCGCGCAACTTTGTTTCAGGTGAGACGTCCAAGGAAAGCCAAATGCGAACAGAACTTAATGTACCAAACCTGTTGACTTGCGAATGTGTTAAAAATCGATTTAAGACAAGGGATTGGCTGGAAACAACGACTGTTAAAAATCGTCTGGTCGAAATTCGAGCAATACAATGAGAGCGATAAGTGCAGAAATAGACCTGTTTTATTAAACGAGAAACTGACGGGGTCCAAACCCCTTGTGTGAACCACAGAATTCATATTACTACTACTACTACTACTACTACTACTACTACTACTACTCTATCTTGTATTTTTGTACCTCATTCAGTCGGAGCCAATTCGGTTCACCTGCGACATGAGACTACACACCGTGTTACAGCTTAAAGGCTACTACCAAAATACCCCACTCTAGAAATGGTATACCGTTAGTTTTTAATGGACAGTAGAACTTTGATCCATTTCAGATGGATCAACCTAAAACTCGCCTTATCTCAACATAATCACATAAAATGCACTCAAGAAATTTAAATTAGGTACTCACATAGTGACGCGACTCTAGAACTAGGTAACTCAAAGTAAAAAAGCAACTCTAGATTAAGTTTGAAGGAAATAAATTTTGCTCAAGAAATTTTATGTCCTGGACCATTGAGCAGTTCGGCTGTCCACCTTCCTAGTCAAGTTTCACTCTCGCCCAATCAATTGCACTTCTTTTCTTGAACTCTCGATCCTCTCTATCAGGAAAAATTCAACCCTACTCGTACTGAAGATTCTGAAAAAAATGCGAATAGCAATTTTATTCTCGTGATTTTCGTCGACTTTACCGCAATTATAACTCGAATCTTCTGATCCAATTTATGTTGTACTTTCAGTTGTCGCGAGTAACCTGAGCATGACAGGGACAATACGAATTTTTGAAAAATTACTTTTTATCCCAAAACAAGGCAAACTTCCAGATATGACCGACTGGCACAAATCAAGTCAAGTTTATAATGGAAGTCAGGCATTGCCTCTTATAGTCATTTCCCACACTAATTGTTCCGACCATCTGAAAAATGGGAAAGAAGTTTGTGTTGCGGCGTGTTTAAGCATTTTTTTTTGTTTGACTGAAAAAAAACTATCCAGGTGGCGCCGCACAAAAGCTAAAAGTTATTATGGTAAAAACCTAAAGAAAATATGCACCAGCACAGATCCTGTGTTAACTGTTGATCGGCAGATCACCACGTGGCTGAGTGAACACCATTCTGACAGAATATGATTAGCTAAGGCTTTTCGCCATATAAACAAGATCTGCATCAAATGGTCGAGACTGAATTCTACAATAGACTGTTGAATTAAATACGCACGAGATGCTTCTTCTGCATTCAGCTGTAACAGTCGTCCAGTTAAGTCACATATGAGGTTAAGAGAAATAGACTCATTAACCATTGGCTCAAGGGTCAGAGACACTACCTCTTGTGTTTTTGAACCTCAATCTGTAGGAGCTAAATGGGATCCATTAGGACATGGGATAGTGAGATCGTGTAACAGCTTGAATGCTACTTTATAAATTACTATTACACTCTCAAAATAGTCACGTCCCCATGGCTGGGTCTCCAAATAAGGAAAACACGCGAACTTCGTTAAAAACAGTGTTGGAAGCTCAAGTAATCTCTTCAAGTTTTTGTTGGACACTGTATTATTTGAACAGAAGGACCCCGAAAACGCATGTTACTAACGAAAATTAGTTCTAAGAGTTTGAATGTACGGTGTGTTGATTTTGATGTTTAACGTGCGTATTGGAAGAAAGGAACGAACTAGAAAGGATCAGTTTGGACTGATATGTTGACTTTTAAAGTTTCATTCAGAAGTAAAGACACGTGACAATTTTATTTGAGACTATGGCAGAGACGGTTAAATTACGTAGGGCTCTCATTAGACGCTAGCCAGTCGTTTTATAAGCTAGATTTTCTCTCCGTCGGTATGTACTTCCTGGTGAAGGTTACATATGTATTTTTGGTGCTCCTGGATGTTATTTCTGAAATCATGATCGGCAAACCCATTAAGCAAAGGACTTCGCGCCGAGTGCATACTCTAATTAAGTCTCTCAATCAAGAGCAGTAGGGGTGGTTCGGAATGCGAAAGATTTCCGGATTTCCCGATTTAGCTTTTAATCTTGTTGAGACCGCAAATTCACGTACCGTAAAGAATCGGGGACGAGACGTCCCGTCATTCGAAAAGCAATATTTGACCAAAAATGACAAGAAATCAAACAAAACTTGTATGGCACCTTAAAAAATTTAAAAACGTAACCGAAAAAGAACCAAAACAGTGAAAAAAAAACATAAAATTAGAAGAGAAAATTCCCCAGACGAGATGCGATCTGAATTTCCTGTTTGAAGTTGATAGATATAATCTGGTTAGAGGCATTTATATCAATTCAGATCGTTACGGTCAACCTGCTGCTTTTTTGTTGTGACTGTACTGAAGGGTTGCTTAAGTCTTTAAGCACAATAATGCCAGTTTGCTTTCAACCTGGAAGGGTCAACTGATTGGAGTAGAAGACCGATCCAGCAGTTCAGGAGCAGGAAGGGTCACGAGCACAAAAACTTTCAATTGTTGGGTATCATTTTCCGTACAGAAAGTACAATATGAGACTGAATGGGGCACAACCATGACTGCACTGCAGTGACCAGTCACCGAGTTGCGGATTTCCGAGTTAAGCACCTTAATTCAATTATTGAACGGATCGAGAGGGTTATAATACGATTAGTACTACTTAATATTCTATTTCGTTTTTCAATCAAAGAGACTGTAAACAAACCGGTTTTTAAGGTCAAAGTAATGATTAGTTTGATCTCCCCGCAAAACGCGATTTTTGAGATGTCCATATTTTTTGGAACGGAAAAAAGCACTAAATTAGTGAGTTACAATTAAAAACAACCAATTTAACTGGAGGAACCGGTTGAATTTAGACTTGACATTGTTAGAGCAAATTAAGTATCTAGATCCAATTCTCGCGAAATTTGGAAAAAAACAAAAACGCCGCAAAATATAAAAAATTTCGAAAGTTTGTAGTTAGTGCGATTGAAAATGTTGTTCGGTTAACCTACACTAGTGAGTCGACTGGTAGAATCCGTTTAATGGTAACCTACCTGGTTCCAGTGCAATCGAACTTAACAAGTGGGATTGAGTGTGTTATTCAATCCAATTTGCATTTGTTTCAGCCAATCGTTTTAACTGAAACGTTTTTGATTGTTTTTTTTATCGAAACAGAATTGTCTACGCCTTTTGAGCTCGGAATAATTTTTAGGTCAATTGGACAAGAGTTCCGGAAAAATTAGGCGGAACCTCCACGTTTGAAAACTTTTGTGTTTGGACCAAATACGTTTCGCTCTATAACTTGAGAGCCAGTGGACCGATCCAGTTGGGTTTAGTATCTGTAGATCAGAAAAAAAACTTAAACGTGAGCTAATAGTTTTTCGGGAAAACTAAAAAAAAATTTTAGGCTGTTTATAGTGAAAAGACCAGTTATGATGGTAGAACCTTCCTGGATCAAACTTTTTTTTGGAAAGCCTTAATACACCTACCAAACCGTAGCAAAGGTTCGATATAGTAGTTTTAGGTTATTCTCGACAATAATCAAGGGTTAGGGAACCTTGAAAGCATGTTGAAAGTAGGTTTGTTAATTGACCCCTCCCAAATAAGGGAAATTGTACAATAAGCAGCTTAGCTTCAATCCGGAGAGGTCCAATTTAAAAAAGAACCTTTCCTAGTTAGATAAATTTGCATGATCGAAGTCTAAGACCGTATTCAGAAGCTTCCCAATTCGCGAGGGTCATAGTTTTGACAATCTGGAAGGATCCCAGTTTTGCTAATCCGGAAGGGTACCAATTTTGCCAATTCGAACTGGTCATTTTTTTGCCAATCCGGAAGGGTCCCAGTTTTGTCAATACGGAAGGGTCCCAAATTTGCCAATCCTGAAGGATCTCAACTTTGCCAATCCGGAAGTATCCCATTGTTGCCAACCCGGAAGGGTTCTAATCATGCCAATCCAGAAGGCTCCTACTTTTGCCATCTCGGAAGGGTCCCCTTTTTGCCAACTCCGCAGGGTCCCAACCCAGAAGGTTCGAACTTATGTCAACTCGGTAGGATATCAATTTTGCCAAACCGTAATGGTCCCATTTTTGTAAATTCGGAAGTGGTCTAATTTTACGGAAACGGAAGTGTCCTATTTTTGCCAACTCGCAAGGGTACAAATTTTGCCAATCCGGAGTGGTCATGTTTTTGCCAATCCGGAAGGGTCCCAGTTTTGCAAACCCGGAAGGTTCCCAATCCGGAAGGTTCAAAATTCTGTCAACCCGGTAGGTTACCAATTTGCCAATCCGGAGTGGTCATGTTTTTGTCAATCCGGAAGGGTCCCAGTTTTGCAAACCCGGAAGGTTCCCAATCCGGAAGGTTCAAAATTCTGTCAACCCGGTAGGTTACCAGTTTGCCAATCCGGAGTGGTCCCAATCTTGCCAATTCGGAATGGATCGACTTTTGCCAAACCGGAAGGGTCCTATTTTTGCCAACTCGCAAGGGTCCTATTTTCACCAATCCGGAAGGATCCCATTTTCATCAATCTGGAGGGGTCCTATTTTTGCCATTCCGGAAGGGTCCCAATTTTGCCAATCCGGAAGGGTCCCAATGTTGCCATTCCTGAAGGTTCTCAATTTTACCAATCCGGAGGGGTCCCAATGTTGCCAACCGGAAGGGTTCTAATTATGCCAATCCAGAAGGGTCCTATTTTTGCCATCTAGGAAGGGTCCTTATTTTGCCAACTCGAAAGGGTCAAAATCTGGAAGGTTTTAATTTTTGTCAACTCGGTAGTGTATCAATTTTGCCTATCCGGAATGGTCCCATTTTTTGAAGGGATCTAATTTTGCCAAACCGGAAGGGTCGTTTTTTTTGCCAACTCGGAAGGGTTCCAATTTTGCCAACTCCGAAAAGTCTCAATTTTTCCAACTCGGAAGGGTCACAATCCGGAAGGTTCAAAATTTTGTCAGCTCGGATAGAGTACCATTTTTGCCAATCCGGTATGGTCCCAATTTTGTCAATTCGGAAGAGATCTAATTTTACTAAGCCGGAAGGGTCCTAGTTTTGCCAACTCGGAGGGATCCCAATTTTGCCAACTCCGAAGGATCCCAATTTTGCCAATCCAGAAGGGTCCTAATTTTGCCAATCCAGAAGGGTTCTCATTTCGCCAGTCTGGAAGGGTCCTGTTTTTGCCAACTCGGATGGGTCCCAATTTTGCCAAGTCGGAAGGGTCCCAGTTTTGCTTACTCTTTAGGGTCCCAATTTGGAAGGCTTTTGATTTTGTCAACTCGGATGGGTACCAATCCGGAGGGATCGAGTTACCCTGAACGCCGATCCGGAAGAGTCTCAATTTGACAAACGTAACCGCAGGATTCCTAATACGCACGTTACGAAAACAGGATAATAAGTTGAAATTAGCTGGATGTATATTAAGATATAAGGACAAATAGGCATAAGAAAAAGACGAGAAATCAGTGATTGCACTGGTGACTTGCATTAAAAACAAGACAGCAAAAAAAAGCGATACAAATCTAAGCCCTGAGATTCGCGAATTTAATTTAATAAGTTAAAAGAAACGCGATTTTGAATAAATTTGGATAGAAAGCGATGCTGACTTCTTTTGGAGGAAAGGCTGTCCTGAGAGTTTAAGTTGGTCTGGCTCGGGCAATTCAAACGCAGATAGTTAAAAAAAACTCGGTAGGTGTAGTAGACACCCACTTGAGAGAAAGATAAGTTCAAATTTTGTCTGTTTTGTGCGCCACTAAACAGGGTGAGCTCTTTCTTTAAAAGCCAGTTCGACAACCAAAATGCGACAGACGGACCGCAACGCAGATACATCTTTTCCTTTTCTCTTTTTTCCAATTGAAATTTTTTATTTTTCCCAATTGGATAGTGAGTAAACTATCTTTTAGGTTTTTTGACGTCATCCGGCTGTACTAGTAATTTATCTGATAAAACATTTTTCATTAAGGTGTATAAATTGAGGATACGTTTTACTGTGATAATCTGATCAGATTCATGTATGCTTGTTAGTTTAAACTTTAGAACATTATTGTGTTGTTTTATCATAATTTGTTGTTAGACAACAAAACTAGTGCAAGCGCATTAAGTGAGTGAGCAATGACTAGTAATAGTTTATGATGAGTCTAGAAAAAATTAGGAAGCTTACACCAAGATAAAAAAGGAATACGTTGAAGTACCTTTTGTGAAAAGAACCCAGGAGGCTCAGAACACGAGAGGGAAGAAAATTTCAGGCAAAATGGTGGAAAAGAGGAGTCAAAATGTCTCGAACGACATTGCAAGTAGAAGTAAATCTAAGCCCCGCTCATGATGGGGATCTACGGAACGTGAAACCAAGGGAAACGTGACCAGGCTACTAGAAAGTGAATCTACTCCAGTAGAACAGGAACAGGATTTTGCTACTTCAACCGGAACCCTCGATCGAGGAAAAATGTCGGAACTGTTTATTTTTTCGATTGAAAAAACGGCGGTGAAGAGCTAACGTCTTCTTCGTTCTCGGAACGAGTGAAAAAAATCTGGAGAATATTTTCTCATTTACCATGGTAGCAGGAACTAGTGACGAGATTGATACTCCGTAAAATGATGATGATAACGAAGAAGTTGATAATTTTTTTATCCCAATTGAGGTTCAACAGTTCGACCCATGAAAACTAGATACCTGTAAATATGGATGGCGGCTCCTCCTATCAGTTTGGTACTGTCAGAATGGTTAACACGGCTTCAAATGTGATGCAAGATTGTGTTGACTTCCTGACACGCGCATGCTGAAGCGACTAAGGTCACAGTCAGCAGACCAGGGACTACACTGAGAGAATTGAAGATGGAGTAGGAAAGACCTTCAAAACAGAGAGAAGCGGCGCGAAATTCAACTATCACCAAACTGCTTGTCACGAATAAGATGACGCCATCAAGGGTGACGCCATCAAGGGTGACGCCAGTGGTCGACGACCGGGTATCGGTGGAAGAAACCCTTTTTTTAGGAAAAAATTAACCAAGAAATGTTCCTTGACTTACTCCCTTTTTCCTCAGCCTAATTGGAATAGACTTCTTTGAGTGTTTTGGTAGGTTCAATTGAAAACACGTACTGGCACTGGTGCGCTTGCTTCTGCTGGCTAACTTGAGATAGTTGTTTTTTCGCATTACTATTCTATGAGGCTGTGTCAGAAGATTTTCTTAGATTCAAAAAAGAAGCCAGGGAAATAATTTTAAGAATTAATGTTTACTTTTTTTTATCTAGACATTTTTGTTGAGAAATTATTACAAAAACTCATGAAAATCATTATCTCATTTTTTTGCCAAAATTACAAAATTCAGGAGAAGTACATTTGATGATGATCTTTTGCCACAGCAGACGTTGTTAAAACACAAAAATCAGAAGATTTTTCATTTCCATCTTTAAGTCAAGCATTATTAAATGCAAGCACAACTGCGTCCTTAATTTTGGCCAAAGTAAAAATAGTTTTTTTTTGGATTAAAAACTTTGATAGATCCCAAAAAAATTGCAGAGGAAACCAATCTTAGAATCAGTCTTTTCGTAATTTTTTTTTCTAACACTACAATTATTACTTGTGTTGAGAGTTTGTGTGAAATTCTATCCTATTTGAAGCTTTTTTCTATATCAACTTGAATTGAGTAATCATTATCTCACTTAATGTCTTATTTTTAAAATACAATTGAGACTCAGTTAATGCTGATCATCTGTACAGCAGACACAGTTAAACGCAAAAATCAAAAGATTTTAAATTCTAAGTTCAAATCAAACCAATATGAAAAGCAAACACAACTAGACCCAAAAAAAATCCTTTGCAAAGTTAAGAGTGATCTCTCCATCACGATCTTACAAGCACCACAATTCGAGAATTGATAAGACAAGATCGTCAAAATGATTTATCACTTCCTTGTGTTTTGTTTCAAATATTTTCAAGTGTAAGGAGCCTGGCAAAAAATTATGATTGGTTTTCTTGTGTTTCGTTTGCTAGGTTTAATTGAAACTTTGATATCCTCTTCAAAATTGAATAATTGTTGATAGCAGGATAAGAGAAACAACTGCTGTAAGTGTTTTTTAAAAATGCTTGTTGAATAAAAAGCTTCTTTTTCTAACTTGTTTCAAGGCTTGAAAAAAACTTTTGATAAACCATTTTCAGGATTAAAACAAAATGAAGTTTTAGTTTGATGGGGTTTGTTGCTGATTAGCAGCAAATTTTAATTCGGTGGCATTTGAAACACGCTTTGTACGTCACTAGATGGATCTAACAGATAATAAGAAAAACTGAAATAATTTATCATAAAACAGATTCCAATGAAATTATTATATTAAATGGACTCATAATGAATTCATTTTTTAAAATGAAAAAGGTATTGGAATTAACAAAAATCATTTTTGTCTAAAGTTTGTAAGTCCTCGGTATGCCAATGACAATCCAGGTTTTTCTTGACTTTTAACGAAAAAACGAAAGATTCATCTTTCTCCTAGAAATGAAATTGAAACAAAATATGGCTAGAATTACCTTTACTGATGTGAACAAACACACAAAGAAAGCCGTGAAAAAAATTTTCTACCAAAAAGATTACTTTTTCGTACGCTTTTCTTGATTTTATTGGCATAAATTTTGAAAAATTTTGTCAAGCATTCAATATACCATTTTTTGTGAGACCATGGGAAATTGTTTTAACAAACGTTCAATTAGAAAATTCTATGTTGTACAACACTTCGATTGCTACTTCTACCCAAAAAATTGATTTTGAAGATGGCTTGCGTATTTTAAAATTCAGCGGTGTCAACTTTATTTGCGGCACAGTGATATTACCAAATTTCATTGCAATGACTGACTGTGATTTCCTCGATATTGAAAAGTCAGCCTGGGCGGTACTTCGTTAATTCTTGTACAAGAACTCTGTTTGGCACCCTTGATCCTGATATTATTATTCTCCAATACAGGGGCAGATTTAGTGGGGGGGGGGGATTGGACGCTCTTCTCCCCCCTCAGGGATTCGAGCCCCTGCCGACCCAAAAGGTCCTCATCTTGAACTTTTTTGAGATGTGCATTTTTGGCTGACGAATCCTAAATTTTTCGAAAGCGCGTAAAAACGCCTTTTTGGCCTGTGTTTTCAAAACTATGCCTGCGGCGCAAAATTTTTGGCCAGAACAGGGATTTTTAGTGCTTTTGGAGAGCTCGGACAATCAATTTGGTCAACCTAAATCCGCCCCCATTCGAGAAAACTCTAGATCCGCTCCAGTGATTGTGAACTGAAAGCGGATTGTGCAACAGGTAAAACCAGATTTACCGTGAAACCGGAATTGAAACCGGACTCAGCAATACTGCTATTTTTCTTTGATATTCTCTGCTGTTTTGGACTCCACGGACAAACAGTTGAAACACTTTATAGCTCAAAACTGCTCTAAAAACAGGCAATTTTCCGGAATCCGCAACAAAATGTGTGGAATCCAGAATCAGTTTGTGGAACCCATGAACAAATAATAATAATCGTATTAAGTAAACTTAAGCGTAGAAATACCAGTAACGTAAGTTTTTTCGGCGCATTGATTTTGTTGCGGATTCCGCAAATGTACGCGGAATCCGCAAATTGCAAGCGAATTCTGCAAATTGTAAGCTGAATCCGCATAAATTTGTTGAATCAACTTACATTTGCGGAATCTGCTTAAATGTGCGGAATCCGGATCAACTATTAATATTCGCTCGTTGCGGAATCCGCAACAAAACCAATGTGCCGACAAAACTTACGTTACAAGTATTTGTACGCGGAAACCATTGAATTTTGTATGTGGAGTCCACTTACATTTTGGAATATGTTTAACGACTTGTCTCTGGAGTCCAGGAACATACAGACACAAAATTCTGCGCCTATCCAGTGAACAGTTTGGCCTCGTGATGCGCTACAATATGATTTTTTCAAGGCTTTCTAATCCGTGAGACATTTTCTGCAACGGAACAGTAAAAAAATATATATATAAATATCAGAGCATTGAATGTTAAGCTTCGATTTGAAAAGATCTTTTCTTCAAATTCTCCAATATTGAAATCAAAACTTTTTAATGGAGACAAACTTTCCATTGTCGGCTACATCTCCGCTCGGGAACAGAAAGTGGCACCGCGAATCTCCTTTTTTTCAGTTTTCTAGCAGTGTGCTCAAGCATCCATTCTTTGGCTAGTTTTGATTCTTATATTTGGATATGATCTTTCAAATGCTATAAAAGACGGAGAAGCCTACTTTTTTATGATTGTGACCAATGCGAATGCAGTACATGTTGCAAAAAACAATATTAGGTTAAAAAATGGGTCATGATAAGGAAATGAAACTGAAAATGCTACGCCATTAGCCAGGGGCGGATCTAGAATTTTCTCGAGGGGGGATTTGCAGGTCGACCAAATTGATTTTCCGAGCGCTTCCAAATCACTAAAAACACCCTGTTTTGGTCGAATTTTAATGCGCGGCAGGCAAAATGTTGAAAAACAGGCCAAAAAAAGCGTTTTTAGGCAATTTTTGGACAACTTTGACCAAAAATCCCGTTTTTTTTTGGCGCACGCT